CAGGGTGGGCACAGTGGAGGAGGATTGGTCCACTGAGAGAGGAGGGTGGGAGGGGTGAAGGGTTGCCACAGTTGAGGAGTAGGATGGGTGTGGAGGCGGGGGTCGGTGCAAGGAGGGTTGGGTAAGTTTAGTAGCAGGGTGGGCACAGTGGAGGCGGAAGATCCATCCAGTGAAAGAGGAGGGTGGAAGGCGTGAAGGGTTGCCACAGTTGAGGAGTAGGATGGGTGGGTCGGTGCAGTGGGGAAGGAGGGTTGTGTCAGTTTAGGAGCAGGTTGGGCACAGTGGAGGCGGAAGATCCATCCAGTGAGAGAGGAGGGTGGAAGGTGTGAAAGGTTTCCAGAGTTGAGGAATAGGATGGGCGCAGAGGGTGAAGAAGTATGGCGGGTGGAGCATGGAGGCTGGGTGGAGGTTGGAGTAATTTGGCCTCGAGTTTGGAAAAGGTCGAGAGGAGGTTGGTGGACGGAGGGCGGAGAGACGCTGGAGGGGTGGAAGGCATCATGTGGATGAAGGATGGGAGGCTGGAGAGTTTGCCACACTGTCCAGGAAGTGTTTCTGACACATGCTGCTCGGTTTCTTCTTTGGCTTTTGCCTTGCAGGAAATGCTCCAAGATGCACGCCCAGCATTACGGCTTACGTAACAACACTTTCAGATAACTCCCCCCGGCAAATGGCAACTGCCAAGCGGATTGGATGCTGATTGCTTGAGAGACGGTTAACGGGGGCCCAAATATTCGTCGTTTTCGTTGGCAATTGCGGTGCGAATTTCATCAAAAATTTTAAAAACAAACGATATGAGACCATAGTGCAAACTTCAAAAAAGGAAACAGGCCAAGAAAAACGAAAAAAAAAAAAAAAAAAAAACACTATGAAACCCTAACACAAAGACACTGTCCGAGTCAAAATGAAGCGTCCAACGAATTCAACAAAATGCCAACTTTTTCATTATTGATCCAACCATGTCCAAACTGCACAATATATAACACAAAAAAGAAAACAAGAAAAAAAGCAAAAAATCAGCACAATATGACAGTTTCAGTGGAACTCGGTGCAAAATTCGTCGAAAATAACACCCCTGGTTAACCACGTGTGGATTACTTCATTCATACATTCATACATTCATACATTCATACATTACAAGGCCTGCGTGACAGCAGTGGCACTCTTATAATTGAAGGGGACTTTGAACAACTGCCCTTGGCCAATTCTCAATCACACCATCTTACCCCCTGCCAATTCTCTATCTCACCACCTTGGCCCACCGAACTGAGTGTCACACACACGCACACATACATGCACTCGGACATTCACGAACACAAAGAGTCAAAACTCAGCAAGTAAGCATATGGTATCCATACAAGATTGGTTGATTACAAACATATTCAGAAAACATAGCAAACAGAATCGTAATCCTGTGCAAACACATTAACGTGACAGGATGTTCTCTGAAAAGTTCCGAGTTCCCGGACTGCAACTGTGTGGGTAATTTCACACAGCGTAGAGCTAGAAACGATGCTTCTCAACGAAAACGCTCACCGTAAAAGGAAGAAAACAGGCTCGGTGGTATTCCCTCCCATTTTCTTCCAAGCGAAGCTGCAGCAGGTAATTTAACAATCAGATTAACAGAACAAAATCCTTCTGAGTTACCGGGTCGGTCAGTTCAATGATGATATCTCAAGGCCGCGGCCCTTCAGAAAACAAAACAAAAAAAAGGAAAGAGAAGCTGTGCACTGGGGCCTGAGCGTGCAAAACTCAGTGTGGGTGTGCATGGCCCTTGCCGTGCCACGCACCGAATGTACAAAATGAGAATGAATCTTTCGCTAGAATTCTACATCCAGAGTTAAGTTGAAGAAGTCCCACTGTGAGCATGGCCCTCGTCGTGCCACGCATAGAGGTAAGTTGAAGAAGTCCCAGTGTGAGCATGGCCCTTGCCGTGCCACGCACTGCGTGTACAAAATGAGAATGAATCTTTTGCTAGAACCTGGAAAGATGCATTGCCATAATTTTTGTCTTCTGTGCATTTGGTGATGGTGAGGCCCTGTACCCAGTGAAAGAAATGGCCAAACCAGGCGACTAGATGGCCACTGTCCCCCTTCCTATTAAAAAAAAAAAAAAAAAGATGGCCGCTGTCCCTGTTTTTCTTGGTGAATACTGGGTAGTAACCAATGTTGTTCGTGGATCGAACAAATGGACGGATGTGTGGGTGTGTAAATGATGTATATTCTTGACTTGCCGGGGGAAGAGGAGGGGGTTAAACCGCCAATACACGGACCGAGCCGTGCTGAAAATGCAACTCTATGAAAATTTTGGAGGCTCGGCCTACCCGACCACCATCATGGCTGGCGGCGCCAGCCAAAAAAGAAAAAGTGCACCACTGGTGATTCGGAAAAGCTTGGCGTTCAGTAAGGTGCCTCCAAGCCCAGGTGTACTGGTGGGTTAAGTCTTTGTGGCCAAGGTATGTAGTGTTTATGGCGTGTGAGGTTTTGACTTATGTCTTTAAGGCATGGCAGTGTCTGCAGTAGGGGGTTAATTCTTCATCTCATAGACCTGAAACACCGTTCTTTGTCATAGAAGATCTATGTACTTTGTTCATCAAACGTCCATTGCTGTTTTTTTTACCCGCCTGCATTCCTTTGGTATCACTATCATTCTTGACATGCCACCTCAACAGCAAGGTCTTTAGCTATACAACATCTGAATTCCTGTAACAGCCACCCTAACACCCATCTTTTCTTCTACTGGTCACGACTGCTCAGTCTCCTGAACCTCGACTTCTTCACATCGCTTCTAATACATCTCTCTCTGTCGACTATTTGTGCCTTTCCAATCTCCCTTTTCCTGATGCGGGCGGAGCTGCGCTGGCCCATCTTGTCTTTGTTGATTCTCTCTATCCACCTTGTGGTCTGGGTGAGGTGTTCCTGCATTGCATTAAGGTTTGTGCGTGTTGAGTCTTCCGCTCTGCCTTCTTCGCACTACCCCCTCATAGGATCGGCCTTGGCATCCTTTCATATCTGACTTCTGATTGGGAATGTGGTAGTCAGCCAGTCTCTTAATCATTCAGTTAGTCAATTGGTCAATCAGTTGGTCACTCTTCCATTTCATCAATTGATCAATGAATCATCTGGTCGGACTGTTTGTCTACATGATTGTCTCTAGAAATAGTGAGGACGTGTGTCTGCTGCTGCTTTTGTGGACAAGACTGCTGCTTCGACCATCAACCTTGACAAGACAAGAAAGGGGAAATGGGCTCCCCTGTAAGTTCTTGCTGACATGCCATAATTGGTGTGACAATCCTGAACAGGCCCAAGAAAAAGGGCTCGAGAGGAAGGCAACAAGATGCCATCGTCTGTGACATCATCTTTAAGCGAGACAGCTCAGCCATGGATGACACGAAGAGTTAGTAGAAAGGTTGGCGGCATGGCAGAGGCACTCTCCATCGCCAGCAGTCTCGGCTTTCGCATCCCGGTATTTTCTACACTTCACCCAAATTTTCTCCCCTTTCCACTCTCTCTCCTCTTTATTTCTTCTGTCCTCATCCTCTGGCCTCTATTCCCACTCCTTTTCCTGCTCCTCCTCCTCTTCTAGTTTCTTCTTGTCTGCCTTTATCCCCATGTATGCCACAGCACAGGCACTCATAGGCCTCGCGATTTGCTCCTTGTGCCTTTTTATTGGCCAATAGAACATCTGCATTCAAGGCAGATAAGGAATGGAAGACTGATTGCAAAACACAGGTCTTCCTTGAAACCATCTTCTTCTTCGTCTTCAGATAGATGAATGGAGGGAGGGAGGGAGGGAGGGAGGGAGGGATGGACGGAGATATGAGAGAGGGAGGGAGGGAGG